AGTTGTCGTAAGGGTTTCTTTAACTCTACTCCTGGAGGAAATTGTGCGTGTGTATTGTTACAGTGATAGAAATGTAGCCATGTTAGTCTGGGGTAGCTGAAGCAAAATGCAGGACAATGTAGCACTTTAAAGACTAAGAAGATGGTTTATTAGATGATGAGCTTTCGTGGGCCAGACCCACTTCCTCAGATCAAATAGTGGAAGAAAATAGTCACAACCATATATACCAAAGGATACAATTAAAAAAAATGAACACATATGAAAAGGACAAATCACATTTCAGAACAGGAGGGGGATGCAGGGGGGGCGGGAAAGGAAGGAAGGTAAGTGTCTGTGAATTGATGATATTAGAGGTGGGGAGAGTGGGATGTTTGTGAGTTAATGGTATTAGAGGTGATAATTGGGGAAGCTATCTTGATAATGGGTAAGATAGTTCAAGTGTTTGTTCATTCCTTTTTGGAGAGTGTCGAATTTTAACATGAATGACAATTCAGAGGATTCCCTTTCAAGTGCAGATGTAAAAGGTCTTTGTAGCAGAATGCAGGTGGTTAAGTCATTGAGAGAGTGTCCTTTCTGGTTAAAATGGCAAGAAACTGTTTTTTCTTTGTGATCTTGTCTGATATCTGTTTTGTGGGCATTAATCCTTTGGCGAAGTGTCTGAGATGTTTGTCCAATGTACATAGCAGACGGACACTTTCGGCACATGATAGCATAGATTATATTTCTGGATGCGCAGGAATATGTGTTCTTGATCTTATAACTCACTTGGTTAGGTCCAATAATGGTATCAGCAGAATGAATATGTGGACAAAGCTGGCAACGGGGTTTGTTGCAAGGGAAGGTACCAGGGTTGGTATTAGTGTGGTATGTCCTGTGGTTGTTGGTAAGAATCATCTTGAGGTTAGGTGGTTTTCTATAGGAGACTATGGGTCTGTCTCCCAGAGCCTCTTGGAGTATGGTATCCACTAAAGCGTCACCCTTTTATTCTGGGTCACAACAAGAATTTAGGTGGAATGAGTCAGGACATATTAAGTGTGATGAGCATTTTTCATGGTTTTTAATCGATCAAAGAAAGAAATACATGTTTTTTGATCTAATAAAACCATTAAATAATTCACTCAGGTCCTAGCTACATTACAGTCTACATCTTAAGTTATAACTTATCATCATCACAGTTGCACTCCCCTGGGAACTAAGCATATGGAGAGCTGGGGTCAAAGCATTCTCAACTGAAGGGATCCAGCTGGGGAATGATTTTCCAGAAGATGTGAGATAAATCCAATTTTTAGGAAATGCTTCAAAACCTACCCATTTTGACAAAGATTTTTCCCAATTAACAGAATAATATTAACATCATCCACATGCATTCTCTGCCAAAAAAGCACAACCTACTCCAGGCAGAGATTTTCATAATCTGCAATGGGGAAGAACCAAAGACTCAATGAAGTGCATGAAAAAACTATTTTGGATATGTAAGACTCTCAGCTAATGAGCAGCTGTACAAAATCCTACAATGGTCAGGTCAGAAAATATGGGACAAACCATAGTAAGAGAATGACCCACATACAGAAGACCACTTTGTCACACGGCATCCCATATTTTTCATAATTGTACTATAATGATATAATTATCAAGCAATTTCTACAAGATGAGTTAAGTAAGGTATCACTGAAAAGACAGTATATGATTATCCTATCGGTATGTATCATTTTTGTATCTGAAGTGATGAATATTGACTATATATCCATATTTCACACACAGTCACACCTGGGGGACACCCATTAGGCAAGATGCTGCCATTCGAAATATCTTGTTGTGAAGGGCCCATTCAGGATAATGGGCCATTAAAGAAAACAAAAGGCCTTAGAAGTTTATTCCCCCACCTTCCTGAGAAACCTCCAGATAGCCCGTCGGTAATGGCTGCTATGGCTCTGTAGGGACAAGTGACCAGACCACATTACCTTGAACTCTATTTTGTGTGCCTGTATTTTTCCATAAATTATGCTCAGATCTGTTTTTGGAACAAAGGGTTCCTGCTATACACTAAAGCAATATAAAGCAGGAAGTTACTTCATCTATTTTTCTTTACTCCTGCTCTCCCCGCTCCCCCAATACAATGCCTATGAAAAGCTCTTAAGAACTTGGAATATGGGTAGGGTGCCCAAACTGCAAAGCAAGTACAGCTTGTGCCTGGAGAATCTGCGTGGTTGCTTATATCATCGCTCCGAGTGAGAAATTTCTATTTCATATCTGATATTTCTAGCATTTTAGGCTTAGTTTCTGGTTTTGTTTATTGGCTAGTTAATCTGCTTTGATCTGTTTGCTATCTCTTATAATAAACTTAAAATCTATCTTTTTGTAGTTAATAAACTTGTTTTATGTTTTAATCTAAACCAATATGCCTTTGACTGAAGTGTTTGGGGGAAAATCCTAGTTTAGTTTAACACAAATGTATTGTGCAGATTCCTTTTCACGCTGAGGGAAAGATGAATTGGGGATAAATTCATATTGGTCGGGGTTTTGACAAGGACAGGCTGGTACAGCCCTGGGGGTCCTAGGCTGGGAAGCTGCAGGTTAATTTGATTGTAGCTCCTCTATTGTTGGTTCATGCAGTGGCTGAACCACGCAGTGGTAATTGCAGCTAGGTGTGTTTCTACTGCTGCAAATGCTGGTGGGAGTGTAGGACTAGGAGCAGTCAACAGCTTGTCACAGTAACACAGAGTAAGAGGAAGTCCAGCATAATAAATCAGAGGGCTCAGTGATAGGGATGTAAGTGTCTAGTCGACTATCTGATAAGCAAAAGCTTATCAGATAGGCAACTAGTCCCTCGACTAGTCGTTCTTCCCCTTGTTGCCTCTATCAGATCTGATAGAGGCAGCAAGGGAGAGGGGAAGCAGGAGCTGGTGTTGGGGAGGAGCTATGTTAAAAGCCGGCTCCTTCCAGCACCATCCCTGCAGGGGCACCGGAGTAGTGGGTCCGGGTACGGGCAGGGAATATATATAACACATGAATACAATGTGAGTTGGCAGATACTGATACAGATACACTCTCAGGAGTGTCCTCTTTTTTGAAAGTTCAAATATGGTAACCCTACTCTTGGTATGCTCCACAAGCAATAATGAGCATGAGAACCATCATTTGGCAACCATTCTGGACACCAACTTATCAAATATGAGTTCATTTGACCGGGGGGGGGGGAGGAAAGCACTCGAAGAATTTGGTAAGAGATGAGGGTGCAGACAGTAGGACTGGGGTGCCAAAGGCAGGCTTTGGCCAGGAGACACTTACCAGGGTGACTCCTAGCCAACAGCCCAGCTGGATCCTCAGCCAGGGTCCCTGGCTTACATGAGCCACATGTGGCTAAGTCTGAATGCTGCAAGCCTGGAAGGGGAGGGGTACTTCATGAGCTGACTGTCCTGCAAACACACAGCTCCCATTGACCAGAAATTGGCCAATGGGAGTTGCAAATTATGCTGGGGGTGGGAGAAGCGTGTGAAGATTCTCTCCCCTCCCCCAGGATTCCAGAGTTCAGAAATTGCTCTTATCAACATGCAAGGGAGGGGAAAACAAGCAAGAAACCTGGTGGAAGCTTCCCCATGCCTCATCCGGCAGCTTGACGGGTCTCATCCAGACTGCAGGTCGAATTCTGCCCACCCCTGGGCTAGATGAGGAGTAACGTTAGTTCGAACCAAGGGTTTTGGTTCGAACTAACGTGTCCCGACGCGCACTTTTTGAAACAGCTGTTGATCAGAGTAACGCGCCGGCGAGTTTGTGCTAATGAAGCGTGGGATATTTAAATCCCTGCTTTATTGACTATTTTGAATGCCTACCTTTGCATCCCTAGTTCAAACTAGGGTACAAGTGTAGACATACCCTAACAGTCCCAAAAAGATAAAGTTGTGAAGCAGGACATTTTCATGTTTCCCCCATAGAAGGAGACAAAACTCAGTAGTTTCCTTGGAAAATCCTTAGGAGTGTGAAGCCTGAAACCTAGACAGATAATCATTTTGCAAGATATTGTCCGTATGTCATCATTACTGTTGTGTATGAAATGAGAATTACAGGGAATGGACACACATGTCAGTTCCCACTCCCAACCTTAGTAAAACTAAAACAGCAAATGTACATCAGAAAATAAAACCAGTTTCTAAGAGTTTAAAAAAAAAAAACAAAAGAAAAATGTTTAAGCAATTGAAAAAAAAAAAAAAACCCTATCTTTCTTGCCTTTAAATTGTTATTCCCTGGCTTCCAGAAATCTTACTGGCAGAAACAAGGTGTACCAGCAAATCCCAACTTAAAGTACATGGCTGAGTTTAAAAAACAAACAAACTCCGCTAAACTCAAGAATAGATTTATACTTATTTATACTTATTTAAACATTCCCTGAGCTGAGTAAAGGTGATACATTTGGGGAGGATATATTGCATTTGTCATATCTAACAAGAAAAATATTTCTTGAAGTTCAAAATGGAATTCACTCTTTAGTACGGAATTATGATTTGCTACTCCACAATACACAAGCATACAAATACACAAACATACAAACAATGGTTGCACCTCAGTAGTGAATTAAGTAATTCCAGTGTATAGCAAAAGTATATGTTTGTAAAGTTTGTAAATTGCTTGCTTCTTTTGGGTTAGATATTCACTGTACTTACATTGCTACTTTAAAAACCACACACTATGTCAGGGGTGGGAAATAAAACTGAGGAGGTTCACCAGGATTAGCCCCTGGCAGTTCCACTGTTGCTATATTTCACTGTGCCTCTACACAGGTACAGGTGATTGCAGTTCCCGTTGGCTGTGGATCGCCATTCCCAGCCAATGGAAGCTACAATCACTGTACCTGCAAAAGTGCTGGTAAATATAGTGGCATTGGCCAGCCAGGAGCTAATCGGATCTGACCTGTAGTCCAGTATTTGTCCACCCCTGCACTATGTGATATTATATTTACTTACATCAAGCACATAATACAAATTCAAGTGTTAAATGTCACTTACCGAAGATTCACTATCTCTAACAAGGAAGTCCCCTTCCACTCCCCTCTCGTTTAGGGCACATTCTGCTTGATGCCGTGTAACATTCCCATAATACCACTCTCTTCCAGCAAACCGTCCTGTAGAAGATGGCCCTGTATAGCTTATCTGAGGTGGATGGGAAGTGTTAATGGCAGGACCATCACTTAAGATTACCACATAGTTTTTAGGAACAAGACCAATTTGCCCCCGGGAATTTTTACATTTCCACCATTCTGGGTCATTTTCTGGTTTTTCAATGACTTCCATTGTTTCCCCCTTTTCAAAATTGAGCTCTTCTTCTGTGACGGAGCTGAATGGATACAGTGTCTGAACAACATGGAGTACTTTTGAGCTCTGGCCATTACTCATGGATGCACCTTTCCTTAAACTTAGAAAACTTGGGGAATCTGCAGTTGCTTCCTCAACTTCCTCCATCACGTAGTTCGAAGGAAACCAGCCAATCTGTCCATTGTAGCTACCTCTCCACCAGCCATCACTGCACTTTTCCATAACAATGACTCGGGATCCTTTAACAAGAGACAGCTCATCCTCCCTCTCTGCCACATAGGCAAATTTAACATAAGCTGGGATGTTAAGGTCATAAATCCGGTCTGCACTGCTACCGTTGGATGGATATTCTGCATCTGTACTAGGAGTAGGTGAAGCATCTCGTGCACTTGTCTTCCTTTTTGTTTTACCCAAACCTGTTAAATAAAAAGAGAAATTTCCAGTAGGCATGTAGGATATAAATAGAAAAATAATTTAAAAAATTAGTCTATAATGCATAAATTAGCCAAGTGATTTTCCTGTCATTAACAAAAATGTTAGGCATATAGTCATCAATATTACACTGGAAATAGACTGTCAGGAAATATCAGCATCTTAGTATTTTAAGAAATCACTCTGTCTATTGGTTCAGCTTTTTGGGTATGTCTAGACTGCACGCCTTTTTCGACAAAGGCTTTGTCGACAGATACGGTCGACAAAGCCTCTGTCGAAAAAGAGCATCTAGTCTCTCTTTCAAAAATGCACAGTTTGCATGCAATAGAGCCTTTTTTCAACAGAGTACTATCAAAAAAAGGCATTATTCCTCGTAGAATGAGGTTTACCGCCTTTGACAAAACTGCCACATTTTGTCGACTTACTGTCAACAGAATGTGGCGGTAGTGTAGACGCAGGTATAGTTTTGTCTACAAAAGCCCACTTTTGTCGACAAAACCCTGTAGTCTAGACACACCCTTTAAGTTAAGCTCTATTTCTCTACAAAGTCTCTTAGTGGAAATTCAGAAACAGAGTCGTACAAGACACATCATTTATGTAAACAATTAGTCTTCCAGGGATGTTATGTCTCCTGAAATCCAATCCAATCAATCATATATTTTAATTTTAATTATAAGGATTTAAATGGGTCTGGAAAAAAGTAATAACAAAAACAAGTTAGCACCGTTAAAAGGCTCCTCGCAACAAACTATATTATTGCTGAATTGTGCATCTATAAATCTTCCAAGGTTAAAAATATAGTAACCACACTGTAAAGCACAGATAACATATTGAGGGATTTTTAGGCATGAGACGATAGGCAAAATGATTCTGAATAACCTTCAGCTTTGACAATTTTCAAAAAATGTACATTTTGAATGGTTTTCCATGATATTAGGAAATAGAAAATATATTTAAAAAGGAGTGAAGTTGTGACAGTATATATAAGCAGACTGATACAGGGGAGCAGTGCCCTGCTCTTCTGAATTTCAAGTGATCTGATTAAATTCTATGTTATTTATTAAGAGGGAACCCAATACACACAAGCCAGACAGCATTCAGGAATCAGACACAAGGGACAGAAAACAAAAGTACTGCAAAAAACTCTAATAATGTGTACATTTCTCTGTGCTCTAGGATCCTATCACCAGCATTATTCAACAAGCATGGAGCAATTTATCTAAGAGGACATGAATTTAAACCGTCTATAAAACATGCAATGAAAATCAAACGTGTGTCAGTATTTAAAAAAAAATTGTCTGTGTCAGAAATAGGGATGTTAAACTGCAGGTATTTAATTAATCAAGTAGTTGATAGAATTTTTATTGACTACTCGATTAGCAGATAGGCAACTTGATTCAGTTCTGGCTCGTGCCAGGTGCAGAACCAAATCCTGCTGCGGCTCTGCAATTTAAAAGGCAGTAGGAGTTGGGGAGCCTACT